TAGTAAATATTATTCGATTTTGATGAAATTCAGAGTATATGCTGGTTTCAATAAGGAAAGCATAAATCTGAAAGAACGTCAAAATCGGGTTTCGTTATCGTCCACTGATTCTAGAAAAATAGACGCAAATTAAAAAAATCTTTTTTTCATGAAATTCGGTGTGCTCTGCTCGTTTAAACCAAAATTTTCCAACTTGCAAGATAATGAAGAGCTTCTTATAATGACGCACACCTCTGCACAGCTTTTTTGGCTGCTTTTCAAAGTAACCTCTCGAAAAATATTAGACTCACAAAATTATGTAGAATTTCAAGTGAAACTGCCTTATAAATTTCAGTATATTTATAAAAATTAAAAGCAATACTGCTCATCAATCAGATTGGCTTTTTATATATCCGCACATGTGGAAAAATTAATTCAAATTACTTGCGACATATCAAAATTTTTTCTTACAAATTTATTTTTTTGCAATGTTTCATTTTTATCAAAAATTCTTTTTGTTTTTGGTTAGCTGGACATTTTGGTGTGAATCTGCGTAAATACTTTTTCAGAATTCGCTAATACGTTTTTACTACTTTTGACCGCTGTAGTCCCATTGTGCGGTGGCGCTAGCCTAAATCGACTGTGATTTCCCAAAATAAAAACATATTTACATGTGTGTGTACATATGTAAGTAGGTAGGCGACCTTTTCTCGTTGTAATTTTCTTTTATTTATGCAGGTGTCCCATTTTCATGTATTCAAAACTTTTCAAGCGACCAGTGAGTGGCATTCAACAAAGCATAAAATAGTATTGGCATTTTACGAATGTTATTGAGCCTCATAAATTTTTTGGTAATTGTGTTGAGTTTGTTTTCCTTTTTGTCAACATGAAATTACATTAACACGAGATTACTGAATGTTTTGTAATAATATGCATTAACTAAAATTATTATTGCATTTTAAGTTGCTTGTTAACTAAAAAGAGATGAAGGGTGAAATTATCATAATTACATATATTAAATACAACACGCATACATACATACATTATAAGGTTTTAAAATCAACACCATTAATTTTCAGGTATTTAGCATTTAATTAGTTGCTTTAGCTATGAGGTTGTTAGCCGTTATAATCGTAGGGGGTAAATATTTTAGAGAAACCTAGGCTGTAAAATCAGGAGCGTTTCTAAATGAACGTTTTCAGGCATAGATTTTTCTTTGGAAGTTTTATTATTTAAAAGATTAGTGATGTGCTGAGTCGATACTTTTAAGCATTGAAAGATACTCGGTACCGATTTAGGTTTCTAATAAAAATGCACATATGCCAAAAATATAGGAAAAAGTGGTTCAGGGAGACTCGCCTATCAAAAGCTGAATGTAGGGGCCAATAGAGCTTTTAATAGTGATTTAAGTGAAAAATGTATGTATGTATTTATGTATGTCGGTTCGTCGCCATAATGCAGAGAAACTCTTACTTTTTTGAAGCATTTTTGTTCTAGATGAATCGGACGATATTATCTTGGTAGGCCTGAAGCGCTTCTTCATTCGTTAAAGCATTTTGCTTGAATCTTGGATCCACTAAGGTGAAAACTGGCAAAATAATATTTTACTGTAGCGATAAATATAAGCTTGTTAGCCGACATTACATTAAATAGCAATGAACTATTTTTTTTCTAGACTTGAAAGATACATAAAGGCGAAGGTTTAATGTACATAAAGAATTGATATCGGGTACAGAAAAAGAAGTATTGTGTACCGAGTATTGGGTACCGACAATTCAGCACATCACTATAGAAAATTTTTCAATTGGCCTGTCATTCGACGGCAGAGGAGAAGGTGTCTGAGTCAAATGTTCGCCTACTAAAAGAAGCTAAGAAATAAATAATGCCACCTTTTTTCTAATTTTGGCGATTGATACAAAGAGTAACTATTTTTATACCCGAGCGCACTTGTGCACAAGGGTATATTAATTTTGTTCACATAACGGTTGTTTGTAACAGCCAAAACGAATCGAGATAGATATAGACAAATGTATACATAAATGATCAGGATGAAAAAAGAAATCGATTAAGCCATGTCTGTCTGTCCGTCCGTC